TAAACTGCCTTGGCTGGACCATTAGTGGTCAGAAAACCCATTCAACTAGCCACCCAGCACCCAGCTAAACCCATCAGGGCTATTGTTAATCCACACCTAGGTCTGGCTCCTCCTGATGCCACACTCCTGGGACCCAGGATCGGTCCAGGTAATCATAAGAACATAAGAGAAGCCAATGTTGGATCAGGCCAATGGCCCATCTAGTCCAACACTCTGTCACATAGTGGCCAAAAATACCAGGTGCCATCAGGAGGTCCAACAGTGGGGCCAAGGCACTAGAAGCCCTCCCACTGTTGCCCCTCCCCCAAGCATCAAGAATACAGTGCATCACTTGCCCCAGACTGAGAGTCCCTATCTATACCTTGCGGCTAATAGCCACTGATGGACGTCTGCTCCATATGCTTATCTAATTCCCTCTTGAAGCTGTCCATGCTTGTAGCCGCCGCCACCTCCTGTGGCAGTGAATTCCATGTGTTAATCACTCTGGGTGAAGAAGTACTTCCTTTTATCTGTTCTAATCCGAATGCTCAGCAATTTCATTGAGTGCGCACAAGTTCTTGTATTGTGAGAAAGGGAGAAAAGTACTTCTTTCTCAAACTGCTCTATCCCATGCATAATCTTATAAACCTTTATCATTGTCGCCCCTCAGCCGTTGTTTCTTCGAGCTAAAGAGCCCCAAGTGTTTTAAGTGTTCCAACCCTTTTACCATTCTAGTTGCCATTTTCTGCACTTTTTCCAATGCTATAATATCCTTTTTAAGGTGCAGTGACCAGAACTGTACACAGTACTCCAAATGAGGTTGCACCATCGATTTATACAGGGGCATTATGATACTGGCTGATTTGTTTTCAATTCCATTCCTAATAATCCCTAGCATAGCATTGGCCTTTTTTATTGCAGTTGCACACTGTCTCCACATTTTCATTGAGTTATCTACTACGACTCCAAGATCTCTCTCTTGGTCAGTCTCTGCCAGTTCAGACCCCAACAATGTGTATTTATATTTAGGATTTTTGGCTCCAATGGACTTTTGTCTTCACCTGAGACAAGCCCCTCAAGACCTCCTATTGATCAACATTGTTCTCCAATGTCTATTTCTGTCAGCACATGCACACCCCACTCTCTCTCTTTTTCTCTGCTCCCCATTGCGCATAACGCCAGCCATTGGCACTATTCTCTTCAAGGACTTCTGCACTTCTCTTCAAGGACTTCTGCACTTCTGGACAGGTAGTATTACCCCATAACTGACCCCTCTATTTGCTATCAATCACCTCTGCATTCTTAGTTTTGTATTGCTTGCATTTTTTGAATGCTTAGTGTACTTGTAATTAGGGAAACTTTTAAATAAAAATGATTTAATTTACTCTTCAAATGTGGAGTCTTCTTACTGTACCGGACCTTGGTATAAACTGGTGTATGGTCCCCTGTACCCCTCTGGTCTCTCCTGCTGCATAGCTAATTTCCCCAGACAATGAGGCAGGCCACTGGTGGTAATACTAGACCAAGAGAATTTCATTGCTGACACCTTTAGAGATGGACAGGCATAGAGTTTGACTTAGGAAAACTGTACTAAATAAATTTCATAATCAATATTTATATATTTCGTTTTCCGCAACCTGAGCTAGTGTTTCCTGCTATCACTCTAAGCAGCAGTGACAGAAAAATAAAATTTAAAAAATGGCTATTGGCTGTTGTTATAACATCATGCCTCTCTAGGAAGTAGCTGGAATTCCGTGGTAAAACCATAGGATTTGGGGGGATTCCCAGAGAGGAAAACCCAGAAGTGATGTCATGCGGTCATGCTGATGTCTCCCCCATGTCCCCACCCCATCCGATTCCCCACCGGTTGTTGGATAATGCCTGGCAACTCTAACTCTAACATACGTTAAATAATTCTAAGTGGCAATGATTTAGTGGAAGGGAAGAACACAAGAGCCAAGAATTTGAACAGTTCTTGAGAGACAACCACTGTTTCTGATAGGTGCCAAGATTCAGCTCTCCTGATCACTGCTTCACAGAGCCCAATAAAGCATACCCTCTTTGCATCTTCTGACATTATACATATGAAATCTTGGTTGGCTTGTGCAGTAGGTTCAAAATTGGGAGTGAGGACACTGAGCTAACAAATTATGTAACTACAATGTTACCTTGAAGTCAAGCAACTGCAACCCACGGAAATGAAAATACATATATGCTGGTCTTTATATACAATACATTCTATTCATTGCACAGAAATACGAGATATCTGTTCATTGCACTGAAATATGAAATAGCTACATATTCCGTTATCTGCTGCACTAGGGAATTTGATAATGAACACATGTTTGAAAGGATTTCCTGGGCAACTACTCGTGTTGTAAAAAGAAAGGGAAAAAATCTAATGCAAGTACACATCAGTCTGAAAATGCTGTAATTCCTCTGTCCTGGAGACAAGGCACTTTCTGCACTTACTATTATATTATCTCAAGGCAAGATATGGTAACGATAGGTTTCATGGGTGTGCTGTTACTAAGCATTAGAGGCAGGCCCTGTGTTCTTTACTGTTGGATGTGTCAGGCCCTGGGGCCGCTCAGGAAAAAGAAAGAAAGAAAAAGAGAGCTCCATGGGCTATTATAGTATGATCTTGATGATAACTTTGCTCTGTAACTCAATCCAAGCTAAGTCACTGGATATGAACATTTCTGCTAATGGCAATATGTATCTCAGGCAACAGCATTCCTTTTGATCCCTTTGCTGGCCTTAAAAAAAGGAAATGTGCTCTGAAACCATTGCGTTAGGTTCTTTGGTGTTCTGTATGATGGGGGGAGGGGCAAAATGCTGGGGAGGGGAGTTCTAGCCCAAGATATGAATAATAAGGCAATTGTTGTGGGGAAAAAAGAAATCTTATGAGTTACACTTCTGTAGAAGTTACTACAATTTTTTTCTGTTAAATGCACAAAATTCATTGGACGCGTTTCAAGAAAGAATATATTTTGTTGATGCTACCATTCTTCATACAGCCAACTCTTAGGATCCTATTCTAAGTACAGTTTTGTGCAGAATTACTTTAGTCAGCCCAGATCCCCAGATTTCAATGGGTTTAGACTGGAGCAGCTATGGACTGCACTGTCACTCAGTTATATGCAGTCTGAAAATAAAATGCAAGTTCTCTTGCTGCCAACCCAAAAATGTATATGAAGCAAGCTGCCAAGTTTGCTTTCCATTGTGGAAAGCGTCAATTTAAAACCAGTACATATTCTATCACGGTTTAAAACATTTCTTACTTGGAACAACAGTCTCAACTTAAACATTTATTACTTAAAATATTTATACTGTCTTTCCCCCACAGAGGTCAAGGTAGCTTACAACAAATATTCCAGTTGGTATCAAAAGATACCTTAACACCATTGTAAGCAGCAGACCAGCCAGAGCCTGCTAACGAGGGGGAGGGGCCCTCAAGAGCAGGAGATGCATTTAACAGAGAGGAGAGAACAGCTGGGGGCCGGACTGATGGGAGCCAGGAGTGGAATTGGGAGGAAGAAAGAGGAAGACAGATGGCCCAGGGGTGGGGGGAGAGAACCAACCTGGGAAGAAGAGACGTCGGCAGAGTCCAGAGAAGGACCAAGATGGCAAACAGCTAAGGAGGGAGATGCTGGGGAAGGGGCTCCCTCCTGCATCAGAGGATAGACTGCAAAGCAGCCAGGAGGGGTGGGGTGGGGCCGGTGGGGCCCACCCAGAACAGCCGACAGGGACACCAAGCTGACAGGAGTGTTAGAACTCCAAGAGAGCCTCCCTGCAGGCTTCCCAGGACTCAGGTTGGACTTGGGGGGGGGGAGAGAAGTCTCACCCAAGGCTGCAGGATTCACTCTGTGGAAGCAGAGACAAGACTGGGTACTGTACAGGGGCCAGGTGAGGGAGCACTGGAGATAATAAATAAACAAAAGACACATGGCTTGTGATGACCCTAGCTGGATGCTGTAGGGACTTCCTGTAGCTCCTCCAGGGCTGAAGCCATTAATCTCTTACAACCATGAAATACCACTCATAATAGAAACTTCAAGTCAAACCTCATCAATGTGATAAAAAAGCCCTCACATATTGTGTTCTCTGCCTTACATCTTTCTAAAAGCCAATAGAGGTTGTGGTCTTCTATCCTTCTCAGGCATGCCAATCCACAGGGAACACTGGAAATGCACTGAAATAGCATGATCCTGGGTTCAAGAAGAACAAATATTCCTAGGGGGGGTGGCACACAATGACCTGGAGCTGCTGGGAAGAATAAAACCGGCACGCAGGTTCATACGGAGAAAGACAGTCCTTCAAATATCTCATGACAGACATCTTCCACCCTATTCTAGATTGTCCAATAGATACCAGATACTTTCTACTATTAGAAGGATTAGTTCATATTGTACTGTCTCACAATATGGAGACTACATATGAAGTTACCCCCACATCAAAGAGGCTACTGAGTGTAACCAAATGAAACATAACTTTCTTACCTAGTATAGATCAAGCAAACGGCAGATCTCTAGACAGGTTGCCTATACATTTTCTAAATAACCCAGAAATGATCTATAGAAGCTTTGTGGCACGTATCAATTTGCAACGTGTATAAAACTACAGGAGGCTTTATGAACCATCCGCCAAAGTAGAAGCACTGCCTGCTGAATGAAACAAATGATTATGTGGGAAGTATCTGTTTAGGAAGAGCAATGTCATCACCCTGCTTCAAAGGGATAGCTCACTACAAATTAAAGCAGGAAGGACCTAAAGAAGAGAAAAGAAAATATGCATAATTTCAGCAGCAGTAACAATCAGTCCCTGAACCCAAATATGGCAGGGCAGTAAGGGAGCAAGGGGGGGAAAGATAAAATGTTAATCCATACAACTCAGAAAATATTTTGTTCTCATTAAAGTCACGTATGCATGAAGCATCTCTTCCTCCCAGTTCCTATCATTTCTTTTCCTACCACATGGGTAAAGCCATTGAAAGAAAATGAACCAACAGCATCACTTACCTGCATGAAGCGGCCTGCAGATGTCCCAAGATTTGCTATAGTAAGATCCCCTTTGGTGAAGACAGATATGGAAGTTAACAGGACACTGTTGAACTGTTTTGCAAATAAGTCAATCCGCTGCAAAGCCATCGTAACCTCCACTCGATACTCATCATCCTGTACTCCACAGTAAGAGGCATTTCTTGAAAAAGACTGTAAGAAAGTTAGATGTTTTATGAGACAAAAAAACCAAGTAAGCAAACAGGAAGACCTCTGTCAGACAGAGGCTGCTTTGAAAGTGGATGCACATCTTCTTTCCGAAATATAATTAAAAACCATTTCATGACATTATTGTGCTTAGGGCTGCCAAGTCCCCCTGGGGGGCGGGGAAACCCCCGCCCCAGAGGCCCGTTCCCCGCTGGCAGCAGAGTTTCCCCTTCGGATGGTCGTGGCCCCGCCCCCAGCGTGCCCGGCGTCATAACGTCACTTCCCGGTGACGTGCGTGCGGCGCGCATGCGCACATAGGACACCGGACGGGAGTCCCCCGCTCCTGACGATTTTCGACTTGGCAACCCTAATTGTGCTACAAAATCAGTATGCCACAGATCAAGGAAAATAAGTTTTCTTATTTATTTTATTTACTTTGTTTATACAATTGCAGAATTAGGGAACAATGCAAGCCGTAAACTATTTACAGCACAGTTATAATGGTAACTTCCTAAGGTATTCCAATCTAATGCAGTTCTAATTTGTTTAAATATGCTCTCTTGAACATGACTGTTTTTCACATTCTGAGGAAAGACAAGGCGCATGAGAGCCCACCTGACATCCTCAGGCAGACCATTCCACAAGGTGGGAGCCACCATTGAACACACATGTGAATGAGAAGCTGCTGATCTTACCCATTTGTAGGATGGCACCTTTGAGAGGCTTTATTTAAATAAGCAAATCAGAGAGAGCGAGGGGGGGGAGGCTATCCTGCAGGTATATGGGTCCAAGGCCATTAAGGGGTGATCTGTGAATTAATCTATTTATGTACCCACATTTAACAAACTTTAAAATATAGACTCCTCCTTAAAAATTACTTGTCTTCAAACAAGTAATTAAATATTACATAATTTTTTAGGGTAAGGCACTCTCAGCACCAATGCAGTCAATGAATACCTGGTTCCCAATATATTGAAAATTATTCATGAAGCCTCTTTTTAGTTCTGTGGAACAACTGTTGAAGAAAACATTTGAGACTCTAAGCAATTGTTCGCTATTGTATGCAGCAAACAAGATGATAAGATCTCGAAATTTGCTTTTAAAAATGGAAGCCCTGAAATTCCTTCAGAACAAACAAAAATGCATTGACAGACTCATCTCCACTCTACAATAACTAAAAACAAGAGTAGATGGACACCCGTAATCTTTGAGCCTCACAATTCCAAGCAACAGAGTTATTCAAATGTCTGTCTGGTACTTATCCATTTTACTTTTGTTACATGAAGACCAGAAGGTCTTGGCCTGTCAAGAAGCAAAAGTATAGGGATACCAAGGGAATTTAATTAGTCCAAGAATATTTTGATCTCCTGCTACTTAAAATTTATACTTGTCAATACTGTTTTATATTATCAAGGCTATTACCATAATATATTATTTGTTCATTCTTAATCCTCTTATTCAATAACAGGGGATATATGTCTTTCTTTTCAAGGAAATTACTCCCTGAACAATACACTGTAAGTTAGTTTTCAGAAAAAGAGCCTATCCATGTTATACTGACAATTCAGTGGCAATCTATTAACTGAGAATTCAGTTACTATTGATGCTTCATCTTCCATTCCAGATAATAAACAAGGGCTATTTAGATTTCTATAAGAAATTCAATATCAAAGTATGTGACAAGGTTCTGTTCTAGCATATGCATGAAGCAGCACACAAAGAAACCAGAAGTAACAATACATTGCTGTCTTTTATAATCAATTTAGTGATCATTTTTCTTCATTGTTTAAAGATTTTAAAAAATAGATTATTGCAAAATTAAATGCTTATTGAAGCAGCAAATGCAGATGTATCCATTAATTTCCAAAGCTTTAAATTGCAAGCCAGAATGATAATGAAAATATTTTCATGTTTTAGCTGGAAATTAATTTTAAAAATGTTAATTCCTATCAACCTCATCTCAGCTTTTCACAGTGCTAGAGATATAAAGTGATCAGACTACTAGCTAGATTTTTACTAAGAATGTGCTTACCATAAAATATATATTTATATATACACACCCCAGACCATTGATTTGTTTAGGCTGTAACCATGAGTTGAAAAATTTCACTGGGTGCATTCTGAATAGCTCCTCTCATCTACCAATTGTTCTGAATCTAGAGGTAAGCTCCAGAAGGATGCTGACACATTCTGCCTACATAATAAAGTTCCTAATAACAATGGAAAAGAGGGAAGGCCTGCCAGATTCCCTCTTAGTAAGAAAACTTTGTTCTATCCAAAGTATGGTGATGACATCATTTCAACAAAACTAAAGCATACCTAGCTAAAAAAAGAGGCTTGGATGGCACAGATAGAGGAAAGGAATAATACCAGAGGGAGAGGGGGGAAACAGTTGCTCATAAAACAGAATGTCCAGTGTTTCACTGGTCAGAAACCCAATTTAAATGCAATGTCAGGCAAGCAAGAACTTATCCACAGGGATACACAACCAGCATCTCATATAAAATAAGTCATATCCCTTCTGCATGCAACCTTAATGTACCAGGATCTGTAGCATGGGTGAGCACTTCACTTATGTACTGACAACGTATGCGTTGGCAGCAGATACATGGACACAGGTAAATTCATCCAGCACAGTGGGCCAGACTGTATCAACTTGGAGGGTGGTGTTCATTATAGTACCTTCAAAAAGTGGGACTGGGTTTTCTTAACTAATCATAAAGTTTTGCTGAGACATTTAAGTAATCTTTCTAACTCAAGCCTTCTGTCTCCAATAGCAGTGAAGTTAAACGAAGAAAACACAAGGTATGTTTGATAACTCCAGAAATGCAAGACCTTCCTTTATATGAACAATGGGTACTAAGTTTTAAAATGTTGCCATCTCAGGGAAGTTTAAGCATATTAAATCTATTTACCTAAGATTTTATCAGGCATTCCACCATGAATAACAACTGTACCGCGTGAATTTTAAGAGGCTTCTTTGACTTCAGCCTTGAGGAAATAGGTCATCTCTTTTCTTCCCCCCACATATTCTCTAAACTATTCATTTGGCTGCCAATATGGAAAATGCCCATTATCTCTGGGTTATACATTCATAATTCTGATGCCAAATTCCAGTGACACATCCCACAAATATTGTAATCCAGCAGGACCGCTACCGCTTTGTGGATTGGTGTTTCTTCTCTCCTCCCTGTACATGAGTGAAAGTACGAAGTCCATTTGTGACTCATTATGAAAAATATTCCTATGAAGTAAATCTAAACTGGAATGTTATGAGGTGCAGGCAATTGCATTTAATCCATGGGTGTGAAGTCACAAATTATATTTTGCTTGTTCCTAATAATAATTTGTGGTTTGCTGGAAATTTTTTTGCATCTATGTGTCTACCAATTCTTGCTATTCAAAAATACTTGTACAGCATTTACAGCTGTGGTCTATATCCATTTCATAAGTGTATCCTGGTCTTCAAAGGCAGCAATTCCCAACCTGGTTTTGTGACACTCCAGTGTGTTTCTAATTATCTCAAAGGCTGACACAAAATTCTCAGAACAAAATTTAATTTTAATTTACCTTACTTAAAAAATTAAAGAGAGACAGAGGTTTTATTCTAAGCAATGTGCCAAACTTCCCCCACCCTTATTCCCAACCTAAGACAAACCTGGAGACAGAAACCATTCCTCTACTAGCTCTTCTGTTTGCAGGGGTGGGGGAGAGTTTCTGCCACACACACCCCCATTCTAGCTTGCTCCCCACAAGAAAAGAAGGCTGCAGTAAGAAGGGGAAGGCAGGGATGTAGCATTCCTCTAGCATAACTTCTACATGTGCTGTTTAGGACCCTAGCTACAAAAGCTACAAAACCAAATTGTTTATTTGAGATGCCTCACCAGACACAAAACTTGTGTTTAGAAAAGGCCATTGCTGTTTCTGGAAAGCATCGGTCATGATTTTAATATTTATTTATTTCCCACTTTTGTCCCTGATCAGAACTGGGAGTGGCTTTCACATCATTCTCCCTTTCTCCACCTCATCCTCACGACAACCCTGTAAGGCAGTTTAGGCTGAGGGATTGTGATGGGCTCAGGGTCACCTTGTGAGCTTCCATGGCAGAGTGGAAATCTAAACCTGGTCAAATCCCAAGTGGGAGCACATCCAGCCTGGGCTGAAAGCGCTGCACTAGCTGCCAATAGCATACCGGATCCATTTCAAAGTGCTGGTACTTACCTTTAAAGCCCTATATGGCCAGGGTCTGACCTACCCGAGAGACCGCCTTTCCCCACACATACCCCAAGAGCACTTCGGTCGGGGACACATCGCCTGGTTATTCCAGGCCCCAGGGAGGTAAGGCTTGCTACGACCAGGGCCAGATCCTTTTCAGTGGTGGCTCCTACCTGGTGAAATGAGCTCCTGGAGGAGATCAGGGCCCTGCGGGACCTAATGCAGTTCCGCAGGGCCTGCAAGATGGAGCTCTTCCGCCAGGCTTTCATGTAGGGGCCGCCACTACCACCACCACCATCGGTGTGGGTAACAATGAGGCTAGGGGGATGGCCCTTGGAAGATCTGCCATAACATTGTGTGGCACTGGTACCACTGGACTGGCTATGTACCAACTACAGGACAATACTACCTCCAATGGAAGACCGATATCATCTTGTAATTTATTCAGAGACCATCTTGGTTCTACTGAGCACTTTATTTTTGTTGATATTAATGTTTTTATTGTTTTATGTTGTTTTTATTCGTGGGCAGTCGTGCTCTCTTGTAAGCTGCCCTGAGCCTGCTTGCGGGGAGGGTGGGGTATAAATACAAGAATAAATTAAAATAAATAAATAAAAATAAATCAGATCTTGCTTGGTCTGACACTCTAACATGCTACGCCATGCCAGCCATCTAATGCAAACCTGAATATCAAAAGTCTGACCCTAAACTCATAGAAATTAATCACTCAGACCAAACATATCTGTAGTAAAATAAGGCACAAATTTCACTTCAAAGGTTTCCAGGAACAC